TTGCAAAGAATATTTAAGTTTATTTATATTTTAGGTAAATATTTTTTATTATGACTACATATGTACAATACTTTGACGCAGAGTTTATTTTTTATTAGTTATTAATTTTACACGTTTGGCATTTAATTTTTCTATTTACTTTAATTCAGCTTGGCTGATTATAAAAATACAAATACAAATACATCAATAATTGTATAATTTATGTTTAGCTATTGACAGAAACATATTGCATTATATTTCTTTTGTACGATAGTTAATAAGACTGTGTAAAATTATAAATGCCACGCTTGCAATTTTAATTGCTAACATTTTGCGATCAAAAACTTCCTAAAGCAATACTTATTTTATGCTTGATTTAAAGCAAAAACATTGATAATCGAAATCGAAAGCGGGCAACATTTAATTGAGAATGTCATATTCGGTAAAAAATAAAATTATAAACATTATAACAGAGTAAAAATTATCTTTTCCAGTAGCACACAATATTTTTTATTAAATTGGTTCATGTATAATTTAAAGCATACTTACAACTTTTGAAATTGATAATACAGCTTACTTAAAATATTTAAATGCTACAATTATTAAGACAAAGATCAAATTGATCTGTTTGTTAAGCTAAATATTTTGAATCGACTTTTTTTCGTTTTGTCTTCAGTCATATATTACGACCGAAACACTAAAATTGAAATATATTTTACAAGGTCCGTATGTTAGTTTATTTGCATAGCTGGTGTAACTATTTAAATATGTACAGTACTTGACGCAGAGTTTTCATTTATTTTTTATTGGTAATTGGTTTTAAACGTTTAGAATTCAATTAAGGGGGCTCCATACAGATCATTTTTAAGGAGTTTTGTTTAGGCAATATTTAAGAAAAAATTAGTTTAAATAAATTTCGACCATTTCAATAAATTTACCGATTAATTTGTATAAGCTTCAAGGTATTATTTTTAATTAAATCATTTTGCCTATGAGTAAAAGCCATTTTAGTTAATATAATATACATTTTTTGTTCCATAGCACAGGCTCAACCAGTGATCCGATAAGTAATATGAAAAGATATTTGTATTCGTCATAAAATTCACTTGAGATCGGTCGACGTACTTTTTTGATAGGTATCTTATTCCTACTATGCATAAAACACGTTTAAACATTTTACAATATTTCAACATTTTAAAATAAAATTGAAAAAGGGTTAAAATTAAAAATTGAAAAAAATACCTCGACCGATCCTAAGTAAACTTCACGACAAACTCAAATCTGTTTTTAGATTGCTTATCGGATAAGCACTGGTAAGGCCTGTGCGATGGAATGAAAATGATGTGTTTTGACTGAAAAAATGGTCTGTATGGAGCCCCCTTAATGCAAAAAAACGTTAGTCGAAAAACAACCTGAAAATCCGCTTTTTCATGAATAAAAAAAAAAAAATGTAGGCATGGCTTTTACTGTACGGAAGCACATGGGAATTTGGATAAGTTTTTCTGTACAAGTATAGAAGCCTGGTACTTTTTGGTACCGAAGTCACCTAGACGACGGCCGAGCAAACCGGCCTTGACGACCAAACACATAATTACACAGATCGAACGGTCGCTATGCGAACTCAAATTGCCTATTTTTTTTTTTTTTTTTTTATACATAAACTCGAGTTTTTTTTTATGATTTTCATTAGTGTTGATTTGTTATGATAAGGACCGGTCGGATTTTTTCCCCGATAAACGACGATTACAGTAGATAAAAACAATATTCAATATCGGTACAAAATTCAACGTGATTTCATAATACATAAAAAAAAAAAAAATACTGACCCGTAAAGTATAATTATTTTGATGTATACCGTAATATTATATTACAGCCGGGAAAAAAATACAGACATGCCAACACCGTCGGGCAATATTATTAACGCATATCAAACAAAATCTGAAGCCGTGAGATGTATAAAAAACAATTATTATACACTATACAGCCAAAATTAAAATAGCAAATAATCAAACCAGTTTGGCAAAGACAGAAAACTAGGTACATTTTATTAATTAAACTAACACAAAAATCGTAACAATTTAAACGACTTTTTTTTTTTTAACATTGTAGTAATAATGAAAAGAACAAAATATAGTACAAACAAACAAATATCTTTAAATAAAACTGACCAAAAACAAAAAAAACATGGTAAATAATAAACATTGTGACCAATTATTATCAAAAATGTATTAATGTAAGAACCTGTAATATGCAATCGTGTATAAAAATAAACAATTTAATGTGAAAATCAAAATACGATTACTAAAATTTTAAAGTTTAGTAAGCAAAACAATATCGAATAGATTCTGTATTTGAATTTAAGTATAATATTTGCATACGAAGGTGGCTCGGACTTGAATATTTTGCCCGGCGGATCGTTTGTCTATCGTGCATAATATTGTATCACGGGCTGAACCGTGTACGCACATCCGCGTTATCTTGTCATAACAAATCGACGTTTTATTGTTATTACTTTTTTTTTTTTGCCACCTCGACTAGTATAGTAATAACGTGTGTATTCGGTTTGGCGACAAGTTTCAAACCCTTCAAGTATCTAATCGGTCCGTTGTGAAAGCAAACGACTCCTTTAACAGCTCGGCAATATATTATAGTGTAGTGTACAGATAATAGCGTTGTAGAAAATATTTGTAAAATTTGTTTATTTTACACAACAATTACGCTACTCGTAAAATAAGCTTTTATATTGTGTGACTGTATAAATGAAATTACACTAAAAAATAATAATGACGTTTAGCAAAATACCCGAATACGCGGACGTATAGAAATTGCCTTTGCGAGACGCCGTTTTTTGTGTAACTGAAATGTAGTAAAAAATTTAATAAAACTAAAATGTTTTTAAATCCTTGTGGCGTTTTAATTAATTAAGACAGACACAAGAAAACCCTGTTGAAACACAGATTAAATGTACCTCGGTACAATATTACTCTGTCGAGTTTTAAACACTTTTCGGGGTCAGCTATGTCGCCCCGGCTCTTAAAAAAAAGGCGGTTGTACGATTTTTTCCCCATTAAAACATAAAAAACGTGGTAAAAAAACAATAGGTAATTTGAATTCTCATAGCGACCGTTCGATCTGTGTAATTATGCGTTTGGTCGTCAAGGCCGGTTTGCTCGGCCGTCGTCTAGGTGACCTCGGTCAACAAGATTTTTTCCTTTGCCGTTCAAACAGTTGATGCTACTCGGATATCACTGCCCAAGTTTTTACGACTTTCGCCGATTAAACACAGACTTTGCCAATCGAATCGTATTCAAGATGCCCGAAAAGTTATCGATCGTCGTTTCCGGTCTTTCCGCTCCGGACGTGCTGAGGATGGAGAGGAAGACCGTCAGGAAATGGCTGTTTGACAAACCGCCGTTCAGAGGTGTATCCACAGCTCCCGTCTCGAGAAGACCACTGCGGTAGAAGGAGAGGACGAGTAAGTCGTAATTTGAATTCTCAAGCGAATTTCGCGTGACAGAACTATCCCCGAAAAGTAGTTCTTTAAATTTGGACGTCATATTTTTTAGTCCGTCTTTAGGTGTAAAAAAAGCCACTGGCAATATGTCAGCTTGTTTGAGTAGAATAACATTATTCCGCCGTCGTTTGTTTCTAGAAAACACTGCGCTTTCGAGAATATCAGAACAAAATTAAATCTAAAATTCGTTTGAATTTGGTCGCATATCCAATCAATTTGTGTAGACGAAGCACCAGTTTTAATTGTACAAACAGTCCACGATATCATTTTTTATTATGTTTTCCTATTGTTTCCCGTTCGCTCCCGTACTCTATTTCAAACTTATTAAATTCTCAGAAACATTTAATCTGTTTTTCTTTTCTTAAACTAAAAACTTTAAAAATAATAATAAGACTAGATGAACAAAGACAGAAAATTACATTTTATTATGCAGCTTTAAACAGAACAGGTTAACCACGGATCAGATTTTCAACATGAGACAATTTTTTCAGGCACGGGAATTCGATAAAAACCTATGCGCATTATTCGTAGACTTTAAGTAACAACAGGACTGAGACAGGGCACGCACTTTTACCTAATCTCTTTGACTTAGTGTTGGAGAAGGTTGTTAGAAAAGCAAATTTCACTGTAGGTTTTTCACTAAGACAGACAACTGTTGGCCTTCTGGCCTACGCAGACTATATTTCGGAAAGCATTTTTTTAACTTTAAGAGTTAAATTATTGTATACATGTTTGTCAGAAAGAAACCTTGTTCTTTGCCACGCAACTTTGGCTCTTGGTTCAAAGACAATCAGGTCACGGGCATACAGAGGAAGAGGGGTGGAATTCGGGGGGGTGGTTTTATTTAATGTATGGGTAGATTTCCAGGCAGCAGTCTGTACTAGAGATGTTAAATTGTTAGTTGCGTTTTCAATATCATCACAGTTTTTAAGTTTAATATCTAAAGTTAAATTAGTATCAATAATGTTTCTGAATGTCTCCCAATTTGTGTTTTTATTTGTTAGAGATTGGTGCGGATTGGAGGATTGGTATTTAATGCAAGAAGGGCCGGAGAGTGATCAGAACAGGGGTCGAGTATATTTTTAATTGATTTTTGAATGTTATTTGGTGTGTCCAGAATATCTGGACGTTTTCTGTTTGATGTTGGCCAGTATGTTGAGCTATAAGGAGCAGTAATAGAGTATTTTTTTAACATGGATACTTGATTTAAAGAGATGCCTTTAGAATTGTTAGAGTGACAACCCCAGTTTTAATAATTAATAAGTAACAAATGTGTTAACATTCGTGGACAGAACGTTTATTATAAAATTAATTGTCAATTTCGAACTTGGTACATTATGTAAAAACTATTAAAATATAATAACATAACAGTACTTTTTAGAAAAGTTATACTTTTCCTAGTCTAAAATATTATCTAACTATGATACATGATAACTCTTCCACAAGCAGTTGATCTTTTAGTTCTATTATTTGTAATTCAATGTTATTCACGTCTACTTGCCAATATGTGCCGTTAAAGGTTCTGTATTTTACAGTGTGATTGCTTTTATCCATTAAAATGCAAACACTACTAATATCAGGATCAATATAAGTATTTGTCATATATAATGTTAGGATTTCCGTACTTATCCACAATCCTATGAAACGACACATTTGTTGTGAAATAACATTAGGGTCAGTTCCATCTAAAAAGTTTTAAAAAAAAAACAATTTTTTTATATTTAAAAAAAATCTGCGTGATGCACAAATTTTCTTATTGACCCCAGCCAAAAAAAAAAAAGAAACTGAAGTTTATTGTCTTGCTCTATACACAAAACTCTTTAAGGGTTTGTGTATTGTAATAAAAGTATGTGTTAGTGGTGACTAGATATTGCACATGTACAAATTGGTAATCTAGTGATCACTTATCAGGTTAGGTGTTAAGAAATGTAATTATACGTTTTTAAGTTTTATTGTTCTGAATTATACTTATTAAATAATTGTAAACAAATTGGCAAATTGGCGTTATAACGCATCGCATAAGATATGATCCAAAGAGAGTCCAAAGGAAATTAAAGAATATTAACTAAATAAAAAAGACAAATTCTGACCGTGATGTTAACAACAATAGTAAGTACGGAGAAAATAAATGCTCAAAATAATTATTTATTTTCTAAGTTCCTATGTTTGAAATAAATAATGAACTTAATTTGTGTGTTACTGTGATAAAGATAAATCTGTGATATGTTTGTCTGTAAAATACTTTATATTGTTTATATTGTTATTGATTTTTAATAATATTTTTATGATTCAATTATTTCAATTGGTACATATATAGATGTAGATTTAATACTATATAATATATGTAAAGGTTAAAATCAACAACTGTATATTAATATTTACCCAACGCGTGGATAATTATTTGTTTTAAAGCTTTTCCAGTAAGACGTCTTCTCTCTTCTCCGAGTTGTGGTAAATTTGAGTTTCCAAAATCTGTCAAAACGTTTAAATAACCATTTAGATAAAAAAAAAAAATAATAATACAAGTGAAAAATAAATAAGTCGCTCGTGATATATAATCGTATTACATTTTGAAAAACAGTGATATAACTAATGGTTTGTACAATCTGTAAAGTTAAAAAGTACGTACATTTTTGTGTTATTTTTATTGATTTAAATTGAGAGGAATGAACATTAACTATGTTTAGCCTTATAAAGTACCGTTCTGATACAATTTTTTGTTTGTAGACTCGAAACATAAAAAAATCGGTTTAGAGCTTTACAATAAATAACGCAGAAAACGCAACATTTAAAAAGGAAAATAAATACAATGAAAATAATGCCTATACAACAATAACAATTGTTGCTTAATTAACTACTGAAATTTCAGGATTGCAAATACCATTAATTAAAGATAATAATATATATTAGATGTAATAGTTGCTAAACAGTTGTTTACTGTCATTCTCTCTTTCTAACTAAAAGTGTACTCTATTGTAATTATTGTGTGAAAATAAGCATAAAAAAATGTCATCTTTATATTATTTACTACTATCTAATAAATTCATAGCTACGTACTTAAGTTACGAGCATTAGGTGCCGCTATACCTATAACAAAAATGTTAAATAAATATATATATATATATTTTTTTTTATTGCTCAACCATAAAACCGATATAATTGAACCGATTAACCATAACAATCTAATGTATTATCACTAAATGATTTCTAATCGCGACGATTGAATTAATAACTGTAATAATATGTCGAATGATCATCAAAAGCTTATCAAAATATTGATACCTTTATGAGCTTACGACTTAAATAGAATTTTTTTTTAGAACTATGTATAATTACATTTTGAAAATTGTTTGCTAGAAAATTTTAAATTTTACCTATACCTAGTATATGTGTTATTTCTGTTCTTATACGTCGCTGGTTATGTATAGACACTGAAATTGAAAGAATTTAAGTTTGATTATCATTTTTTTTTTTTTTTTAATTATTAATACCGGTATGTAAGTTAATAGTTATTTTTAATGCATACCAATAGTAAATCTGTGCAAAGTATTGTAAATATAAATATAGTTACTCATTATGTTGTTTCTGCAGTTAAGTTTTGCATGCTCTGAAATAAATACGAAAACATTGTATCCCAATAAATATCAAACAAATCTGTGAAAATATGACCAAAATATTATACAGCCAAAATAAATTATTACCCGGTACAGCGATCGTAAAATTCATCACATCTGAAATTAACATTTTTTTTTTTAGAAAACCATTTATTAAGGTTTATCTGCATCCTATAAGCAAACCTTGGAGATAGAAGGTTGATTACAGTGATATTTTATTAAATTATATAATTAATAAATATTTAGTATAATTAATACATAAATAATTGATATTGGATTAATTTTTCTATTCTATAATAAATTGGACGACGAAGTTCAATGTATAATAATAAACATGTTTTTGAAAAGAACTGTGCTTGGCTCTTTTAAATAGAGTGGAAGTATTATGATATTATAATGGCTGTATTAAAGACGATGTGGCGAGTAGAATAAGATATTGTAATAATATGTTGAGGATGAGTATCAATATGATTATTCCTGAAGTTTCCATTTATATTTTATAGTATAATTTAATATTTATATCACTGATAAATTTGCATAAAGTATTGTTGTAATTATTATAAAAATTCAAAATATCTTTTTTCTTTTAAGTAGCTTTGTTCTTACTAGGACCCGTATAATAATAAATACCTAATAGGAAAGTATTTTCATTAATAATCTTTTTAATCACTCGCTCCAGTCCATCTAGAATAAACGAAAATAGGTTTTCAAACTAAATCATGATAAAAAATTATTAAAACTGGAACGGGGTATTATATTTACACACAGGGTATGTATATAAGTAAACAAATTGTTATATATCTTACTTCCAAGTAATTCATTATCACGTTCAGAAGCTAGCTCGATGTGTTTGTCTAAAAAAATTATTTTATTTATGTAATTAAATTTCAAATTAAAAATAAAATCATAGAGTTATTCTAGGATGAATTATCAGGGATAAGATAGGTACTCATTTTTTTGGGAAATTTTGTAGCTTTTTTTTGGGGGAGCACTTTATTTATTTATTTTTTTACAACATTAGACAATAACAATTATATATTATCATTTTAATTTTTTTCAAGAGTTTCGTCAGCTTTAAAAATTTAAAAGAAAACGTACAAAATATTTCACTAATTTTTTAAATTAGAAAAAATTGTACGAAAATGTGGACTGGTCGATATTAATATAAAAAATACATAAGTTTAATATATGGACGGAAGGTGTAGTGCGCAAAATTAATGCTGGTAGATAAAAATGATATGACACTCCATCCTTCCTAAAACTTTAATAAAGCTGATAGTAAATATCAAAATTTGACGTTATGTGTCCGATTCGGTTAGTGTCTAAAATACCGTTAAATTGATTCGAACATATTTTCCAAAAGAAATACTATAAATTTGAAATTTTTTTTAATAAATATTGAGTAGGTATATCTTATGCTTAATAAATCACATTGTATATGATTAAAAATGTTACTGACTTGTAATGAAGACCTCCCTCCTATAGCGCGCTGTATAAAAGAGTAAAACATTATTTGTTTTTTTAGTTTTTTAACTACCTCGCTTAAGTAAGTATGAAAACAAACTAAATACCTATATTTGCGAATACATTCACATAAACAAATGATATTAAAATACAAAAAAGTTTCACTATTATCTGTAAAGAATAAAAAATATGAATTGAATTTAAAACTAATCACAGTCGCCTCAGGTAAGTAGACGAGGTATTGGTTTTACAATGTTTATTATTAAAAATTTTTTTTTTTTTGACTTTACAATATTTTCTAGATAGGTTAGTTAATTTGTTCATATAAAAGTCGTATATGGTGAATGGAAAGTACTTAATTGGGTCAACATTTAAACTGACTCACACCTTTCTCTACATAACTAAACTAGATCTGGTATAATTTAAAAAAAAAATAAAATCTCTTTAATTTTGTTTAGATTATTGTTAAAATATAGTACTAACCGATATATTGTGTAAATCCTAAGAAGCAGTATGAACATGTTTGCCTAAGATTGAATTTTTTTTTTTTGCATTGTTTTTTACTTAAAACAATAAAATAATAATAAACAAAAGAAACTGTTTAACTGTTGTACATTTTAATTATAAAATTAACTATAGAGTATTAAACAGGTGTGATTTTTATAAAAATTAGACTCAGTTTTTTTCTCCGCTCTACAGGAAAACATCGAATCATAGATTTTTTATCTCTTATCACTCTTGTCTCACTTATCTCTTATCTCATTTTTTCATCATAGTACTATCGATAAACATCGGTGAAACAAAAAAATATTATAAACCCTTTCCTCTAGAAGGGATAGAGATGTTTTCTTTATTGCAATTTTTTTAAGCAACATTTTAGACATTTCGGTCTGAAAATTAGTCCAAAGGTAGATCTAGAATGAAACATGTAAAATTGTCTTAAAAATCCAGCGCCACGATCAACCCCAACTGAGTGGTTCAGCGAGGTCCTCGTACCTTCTCTGCCCTGTCTTTTGCCGGATTGATTTTGGTTTCTTTTCTTCCTCAATTAGGTTCTTTACTCACAACAACTTCCATCTCAGTTGTTTCCGGAGCAGATAGTGCGGTGATCCGGTTTTTGAGAATTTCGAATTCTGTTTGCTTGTTCGATATTTCCTTTGTGAACTCCACACAAGAACACCAATATCTATGCCTGAGAAATTTGTCCGATCTTCATCCAACTGGTTGGCTAAGTTAATGATTGTATCCAATTTGCTCGAAAGTTGTAAAGCAGTCGTTTCAGATAACTTCCTGTTCGTATCTGCTTCTTTCTCGATGGCGCACAGTGTTTTCAATCTTATCGTAGCTGGCCACAAAACCGAATTTTACTATAATCTGATATTATTTTTAAGTATAAGTATCATACAGTACATAAGTTTTAGAAAGCTAAATTACCACTCGCTAACGTTTTATCGACTTTTATACTACACGTATACTGTATAACTATGTCACAAAAATGTAGAAATCGTTCATTTCTTCTTTGGAAATACTCATTGGACGTTGTGAGATTATTACTTGTATTGACCGTACTAGAATTTATTTTTTATTTTTCAAAAAATGGAGATCAATATAATTGGTAAGTATTGACAAAAATTACGATTTTGAGCGACGCGGTGCAGATATTAGTATTATTTATGAAAGGGCAATTATTTATATTACGTAAAACGCAGTATTAAAACCTATGTTTCTTAAATCATGCCATTCATGGCAAAAAAAAATTAGGGATTATTAGAGGTTGTTACTAAATATGGTCATGTTCTAAATTTTCTCCTCTATAAAATCGACTAAATTAGAAATGCCGCATCTCGCCGCTTTTTTGCTAATTTTTCATTACAATTTGCAATTAAACTCTTAATTGCAGAACACTTTAAATTAAAAAAACTCATTTTAACTACACTTTAACAACTCACTTTTTTTTTATCTTCGATGTTTATTTTTTTTTTTATTGAATATAATAATAATAATATTTAGTTCAAATTATTATAACACTCACAGTAAAAATATTGCATTCTATGTATTATGTTAATATAATTTATTTACATTAACGTTCTCTAGTTTGTACAATATTTATTTTCTATTCTATCGTGAATAATTAACTGTAATTTTGTTAATAAAATTAGTATGTTGGCTTATTTTTATTCATATTAGTACAATTTTATATCATTAACGAATTTTGACCAGCTAAAATAGCAATTGAAAACACTGTG